TAGATAGATAGATAGATAGATAGATAGATAGATAGAGATGGATGGATGGATGGATGGATGGATGGATGGATGGATGGATGGATGGATGGATGGATAGACAGACAGACAGACAGACAGACAGACTTTGCCTTTTTATAAGACATCCACAGACCCAGCAGTAATGGATACACATAGAATTTCACATTACTCAAATGTATTCAAATGGGTACTTATTCTTTCTGTGCCCTCTGAACAGGCATTTCAGTTGCTATTTTAGTTATGATTAATTTTTCCACTAGATTCTGACTAAGTTGTGTGAGTTTGTTTTCTTATATGGCTTTCTGAGTATCTTTTTCTCCATGTGCAGCAAATGGCACTTGGGCACATAACAAATCAAGCATTCCAAATGCATACAGAAACTAAAATATGCACAGAAGCCTCCAATAAATGCACTTAAATAAAAAAGATACAGATAAAAAAATCCTAGGCTTTTCAATAAGGGATAAAGCTGTTTCTAAAGAGAAAGTAGAGGTCAATGTAGGCATAATACAACAAGTAGTACATGGAGAGTGATTGCCTCTTTTAGCAACCATCTTCAGGTAGTATAGTTATGAAAAATTACCATTCTTACATTTAGCAAAGGAATGCTAAAATAAGATTGTAAAATCATGAAGTTTCACTTACTGATTGCTTTTTAAACAATTTTTTTGTCTGTCCCAATTGTGGTAATTATTTTTGGAGTATAAGACGCATCAAGATTTTCAAGAGGTAAATTAAAAAAAAAGTTTTTGCACTCTGCAGGCCTCCCAAACCTTCATTTTTTGTGAAAAGTGAGGTATGCAGAGAGTTTGAGAGGCCTGAAAAGTGCTCCTAGGGGGTTGGGAGGGCAAAAATGAGCAAAAAACAGCCCATATTTTGCAAAAAATTTTTTTTGCAAAAAGTAATAGGGCATGCATAGGCTTTGGGAGGCTTGTAGAGCACTCCTGCAGGCTAGGAGGGCAAAAATGAGCATTTTGCTCATTTTTCCCCTCCCTAGCCCCCAGGAGCACTTTGCAGGCCTCCCAAACCCTCCACACGTCCATCTTGAGAGATTTTGGGAGGCCAAAAATGCTGTATTAAGTGTATAAGATGCACCCAGATTTTCACCCTCTTTGTTTTGAGGGGGGGGGGTACGTCTTATACTCCGAAAAATACGGTAATCAAGAATATATTCTACATCTACATCTACATCTACATCTACATCTACATCTACATCTACATCTACATCTACATCTACATC